AGGTGGTCTTGGCGAGTAGACCTTGCTCGTGTTTGGGAATTTTTGGAAAATAGGGTCGCGATCTCCTCGGGTTCACCTCTCTGGATGGCCTTGTGCGCCGTGATAAGGGTATGGTATTCAGCCATTGTTTTAGGTGCCATCCAGCCGAGTTGGTCCCGGAGATGGGAGACATGATCAAATTTACGGCGACCGAAAATGACTCTAGCGGCAAAGTTAAGAATTTTCTGAATGCGATCGAAGTTCTTTTGGCTACCATTACCAAATACGGAGAGACAGTACTGGATCCGTGACATGACGAGAGCCACCACTAGTGTCTTGGTGACACCGTCGGGGAGGTAGTGGCGGACATGGGAGAGGCCAATTAGGAGACCCGTGCATCGGCGACTGAGCTCGGACACATGCGCGTCCCAGGACAGGGTGCCGTCGAAGATAACGCCCAGGTTGCCCACCTGCTTGCATGGCACTAGCTTGGTGTCGCGAAAAGAAACGGTGAAAGCAGGTATGCTTCTCAAATTTTGCCGACTGCCGAAAACCATGAGCTGAGTTTTAGCAGTGTTTACTTTAAGAGCATTTGCACTGAACCAATGGTCGAGAGACGCCAGTGACGCTTCCAAGCGCGAGATGAGTCCCCTAAGGTCGTTTAAAGGGCCACTCACCAACAATTGAGTATCATCAGCGTACTGGAAGACTGCTGCATCCTCAGAATAAAGTGATAGATCATTGGAAAATACCGTGAAGAGTAAGGGACCGAGTGCCGAGCCTTGAAAGACGCCCATAGAGTTGGGGAGAGGTTGTGATAATACCCGGCGACCGGACTCGTCCTTCAATGACACACTCTGTGTGTGACCCTGGAGATAAGCGGCGAACCAGGATGTCTCTATGCCGTGCATTGCCAATTTAGCGAGTAATAACTCATGGTTGATGACATCAAAACATTTGCTTAAATCAATAAGGCATAGCATAGAGACATCCCCCCTATCGGTGGCGGCCAGGATTTGGTCACTGACGGACAGAAGTGCTGTCTCAGTTGAGTGCCGGGGTCGGAAACCGTGCTGGGTATTGGCCAGAAGATGGTTTTGGGAGAGATAGCGATAGAGCTGTTTGTGAATGACTCGCTCGACCACCTTCATAATGACAGGTACTAAGGAGATAGGTCGGAAATTAGTGGGATCAGATGGGTTTCCAGACTTGAAGATGGGGTGAACTATAGAGTGTTTCCAATGAAAGGGGATATCGGACCTTGAGATGCAAGTGTTAATGATGTGAAGGATAACGTCACCGATAGATGGGAAAGCAGTTTTCAGCATGCGAATGCAGACGCCATCAGACGCACAGGCGGCAGAATTGCGCATATTGAAAACGGTGTGACCGAGTTCACCGAGAGAGATAGGTCTGGGCTTAAATCTACCGGTTACGACACGCGGCAAACGGCCAATTTGCTTAACAACTGGATTTTGGTCACGGATCTCTGTAGCGACGCGGGGACCCACAGAAACGAAAAAAGAATTTAAAACGTCAGCCGATACATCAGGTTGAACACTAGGTCCGTCTTTCTTACCAGCCACAACCGACCTAATACTTTTCCACACCTTGTTGGGACCCCGCCCACTAATCTCTCTGTGAAGTTCGCCGCGTCGGTCTCGTCGCACTGCGGCCCGGACAGTTCGGTTTAAGTCTTTGTAAACCTCCGACTTTCTACCGAACTGCTGTAACGCGGTACGACGTTGATCCATGATTTTAAGTGTGGCGGGGGTAACTGGTGGTGCTGTAGGATTACGGATGGTAATATTCTTTATAGGTGCGTGATCGTCAAAAATCGGCAGAAATTCGGTCAGGAAAGCATCCCACTGGTCACTTACGTTCGTGGCACTAAACACGCCCTCCCAATCGGCAAACATCAGGTCAGAGTTCAGGGCATCGACATCTATACGGTTGATCGAGCGGGATTGAACAACTGTAGGATTTTTGCGCTGTTTCGGAACGTTAATAGACACACGAAGGAGTTTGTGTGGGCTGAAGTGGCAAAAGGATGCAGAGCAATCACGCACAAGCTCTCTATTTTTAACCATACAGACGTCTAGCAACGAGCCGGAAGTGTACGTTGGAACGGTTACAAGCTGCTCAAGAGAATAATTCGATAAAAAGTCACTGAGGTGTACACGCGCACGAAAACTCTCCTCCTTCAACATATCACAGTTTAAATCGCCACAGATCATAAATGGAATCTTGGGAAAATCAATTAATACACGCTGTAACTGCGTCTCGAGGTCCGAAAAGTCAGCTCGCTAGTGAGGGTTATCAGAAGCATCCTTTAGCCCTGCGACTTCAGAGGTTGGTGTGAGATCCTAAAAATGAAAGTGAGGGCACTCCGAGGCTTGCAAAGGGCTTTTCCTCGGAGGTCAGCCTTGGCCGAACGGCGTTCCTCAAACTGGTGTAGGGCGCTGAGATTACTGAATGTGACTCTCGAGTATTGGCATGGGGCCCTCAACTATCAGCACGGAGCCCTCAGGAGCCGGTAAGGGATCCTCTGCGTCATGCATAAGCCATCCGATCTCAGAGGCCGGTGTGAGATCCTAAACAAGAGCTGAGTGCACTTAAAAACCTGCGTAGGGCCCTCAGAGATCAGCTTTGACCAGACGGCGGTCGTGGACGCCCTTAGAAACTGACGTAGGGGCCGCCTCAGTCGGTCGGCCCTCTCACATCAGCCTGGGGATCTCAGGAATCGGCCTGGGGCCCTCAAGAGCCGGTTAGGGCCCTCGGAAAGTGGCATTATACCCTGAGATAGCTGTGTAAAGCCCTCGGGTAACGGCTTGGGGCCCTCGGGCATCGGCCAGAGGTCCTTGGATATCGGTCTGGAGCCCCTCAAGAGCCGGTGAGGGCCTTCAGAAACTGGTGTGGGGCCCTGAGATAACTCTGTGGGCTTTCAGGTGCTGATGCAGGACCCTTAGGCATCGGCCCCAAGAGGGGTTAAGGAGGGCAGGGGGCAAGGGGCCCTAAAGAGCCGGTTAGGGCCCTCAGAAACTGGCGTGGATCCCTGAGCTAGCCATGTAGGTACTCAGACACCGGCGTGGGACCTTTAGACATCGACTTGGGGCCCTCGGGCATCGACCTGGGCCCTCAAGAGCCGGTGGGAGCGCTAAAAATGGCGTGGGTGGGGTTCTGAGATAACTCCTGAGATAACACTAGAACCTGTTCACGCCTTCAGGCACCGGTGCGGGACCATCAGGCTCGCGCTGGGGCCCTCGAGAATCGGCTTGGGACACTCAAGCGCCAGGGCCGCATTGGCCCCCACAACGAACTGTGGGTGTGCAAAAATAGGTGTTTGCACACCCTCAGGATTTTGCACACCCTGCCCCCCGGAATCCGCGGTCCCTGCTCAGAGGAGGGGGCATGCATGGCCGACGCCAAAGCTGCCTTGCCGGTTTCTCCTTGCTACGTCGGCTCAGCAGAACGTGTGCTGGGTCTGAGCTGACCCGTGACTGGCTGTTCAGTGGCCCAGTACAGAGCTTCACGAGATCGACCGACCAAGATCTCTCTCCTCTCTCTCTCTCTCTCTCTCTCTCTCTCTCTCTCTCTCTCTCTCTCTCTCTCTCTCTCTCTCTCTCTCTCTCTCTCTCTCTCTCTCTCTCTCCCTCTCTCTCCCTCTTTCTTTCTCTCTCTCTCTCCTCTCCCTCTCTCTCTCTCTCTCTCTCTCTCTCTCTCTCTCTCTCTCTCTCTCTCTCTCTCTCTCTCTCTCTCTCTCTTTCCTCACTTTCAATCACTCTTAGTTTCAAACCAAGCCACCTAATGAGATAGATATGCTTCTGTTTATTTACTTATGACTTAAGCTGTTTTTTGTCGCTCTTAGCTCAAAGCTGCTAGTCTCTACCACGTCAAACCCTTAAACTTCTGTCTGGTTGTCCCCTTTCCGACCCGGTGGGGATATTCGCCGTTCCTGCTGGGTCACTTTTGTGCCTTCCTTGACCGAGTTACCCCCCCCCCCCCCCCCCCCCCCTCCTCCGTGGACCGGTCGTGAGTCTCGTCTCGACTAGCCAGCTGTGTGACGACCTACGGTCACGGATCGTGACGCAGCGCGGACGATTCTGACGCGTGACGAGTGATTTGGCGATGGAGGTCAGCTACAGACGAGCTGGCGAGAAACGACATTGTGAGGGCCGATCATGGAAAATGATCGGTAAGGGAGCGAGCACTTTGTGTCCTTATTCTTCATGAATAGTTTAGGTCTGTAATTGTATAGCCCGTCCGGTCGGATTATTCGAGGTAGGCCAAAGGTAAAGGTTTACTCACTGTCGTTAAAGTAATGCGATCTGAATTAGCTACCACTTATCAGGGTCGTAAAACTTGACATCAAAATAGCGAAGTATTGTAAACAGAGCAATTAAGTCATGTCCTCTCTGAGGTCAGGCAGTGTGCTTGTCTGCTCCGGGGTCAAGGCGGGGCTATGTTTAAATATTTCGTTTTATAAAGGTTACTGGCTATGGTCTTTTGCTTTTATTCGCTTCTGGAAGCATTCGTTTTCCTTGATAGTGACATGTTAATAATGGTTTCCTTCGTACTCGCCTGGAGTTATCGACGTTTGAAGGGTTTCAGCTTTTCAAGGAAGGTTAATAACCAGGAACATTCGTCTGACTACGTACTGTTGAATGCGCGCTCAAAGGACAATCAACGTCCTAGGTATCACCCTTCCCTTTCCCCAGTCGCTGGCCCTTTCATTATCCTCGATAATGAAAAGCGATCAGGCCACCACGAAATGTATAGTTTGATGCTGAAGTGGTCTAAGGTGTTGCCTTGATCCTGTTTTTTCTTTTTCTCCTCTTAGTGAACTCGAACGCAGCTCGAGGAAAGAGCATGTGCATTGTGCATAGTGGCTCCCTGATCATGTGCCATCCTGAAATAACTATGCCTGCATGGAAGGATGTGCAACAAATAAATGAAATGAAATGAAATGAATAAATGAAATCCTAGTCGTAAGAATATCATTGTCGATAATAACGCCACAGTGAAATGTAAATCTTTATTCACGAGCGATTTACAAGCAAAGTCACTGAGAAAAACACAGTGATATACAATCAACGCTGAATTTTACACTGATCTGCTCTGATTACATGAACAGGCTATGAGAATGTTCCTCTCACAACATCAGATTCGTGTTAAAACAGATCGGGGATCCAGTCAAACGGATTCAATACTGCCTGTCCACCATAACACTAACATAACTTAAGATCATACGATGACGTTCAATAACACATGGGCTCTCAGCACTCTGCTATCACCTTATCACGCTGTCTTATTTACAATCAAGCCCCGGTCTCTATATAAGCGCTCACCCTGGAACACCATACCACACATCCACTCGTACGCACGCCTGCCAGCTCACCACCGCGCGCCTGCAGCGTCCGTGTGCGGCGGGTTCTGGCCAAATGATAATGTGCGCTGTCAGCGGCCAGCCTTGGGGACACCTGTCGCGGCGGAGCCGTCTCGGGCCACTGCTCCCCGCGAGCAGCTGAACAAGACCACGCCTCTGACCCCGGTCCGTCCCACAATGCAGGCCGCACCGCGCCGCCGAGCCGCCGCGCGTGCAGCCGGCCCGCGCGCGCCACTGTCAAATGCTGTGCTCAGATCGAAGTTACCCCGCGACTGCGCGCCGCCTCTAGCCCTGCCAGACTATGCAGTTGGGCCGGCCGGTGCGGTGGTCGATGCGGAAGGTCTCACCGTCCTTGCACGGACCCTGTTTGAAGTGCTCGTAACACTTGCCGTCCTTCTCCCAGTAGTGTGAGCTGAGATCCTTGGAGCACTTGCATGTGAGGTGGCCGTTTTCGTTCTCGTGCACGAGCTCGCCCTGGTCGCACGGGCCACGCGTGTGGCGCTCCAGACACGTGCCGTCCTCCGGGTTCAGCACGTGGCTCTTGAAGCAGCTGCACTCGGCGCGCTCCTGGGTGAAGTTGTAGCCGAAGAACATGCCCTGCGGGCACGGTCCAACCGAGTGCTGTTCGTAGCAGCGGCCGTCCTCTGCCCAGTAGTAGGCGTTCCAGGTGGGATCGCAGCGGCAGCTCGGCTGGCCCGTGGTCGGGTCCATGTAAAACAGCTGGCCCAGCTCACAGGGACCCTGCGTGTACTGGCGGTAGCAGCGCTCAGTGCCCTCCCAGAAGAACCAGTTGTCGAAGCGCGTGCACTGCTTCTTGGCCTCGCAGGAGGAGGTGCCGTCGTTGTCGAGCACGAGCCACTGCCCGGCGTCACACGGACCCTGCGAGTAGGGCTGGTAGCAGTGGCCGTCGGCGGTGCGCGCGCCCGAGGGCAGGCACGTGCACTCGGTGCGCAGCGTCTCCAGGTTCTGGATCAGGCAGGGCGCGCCGGGACAGTCGGACAGGTCGCACGGTCCGGCGGTGTTCAGCTGGTAACACTGGCCGTCCGCCCACTTGGTGTAGCCGTCGCGGCACTCGCATCGCGGCTCCAGGCTGCGGTAGTCGAACTTGACGATGTGGCCGTCATTGCACGGACCCTGGCTGTACTTGGGGTAGCACCTACCGGTCTTAGGGAAGTAATGCATGCGCATGGAGGCGTCACACCGGCATACGCCGCGGTCGGTGGCCGGATCGTACACGATCAGCTCTCCATCGGGACACGGGCCGCGTGTGAAGTCCTCGTGGCACGTACCGTCCTCGTACTGCGACCAGAAGGTGGGACACTGGCAGATGACTTCATTGCTAGTGGCGTTCAGGACGATCCTGTTGCCCTGCTTGCATGGCCCCTGCGTGAACTCGCGGTAGCACAAGCCGGTCTCCTTCCAGTAGAGGTGGTTGCGTTTGCACTCGCAGGTCAGCTTGCGCGCCTGGCGGTCGTACATGAGGTCGAAGCCCCGTGGGCACTTTTTGAGGAACTGCCTCTCGGTGCGGGCGGTGGCCGTCCCCGCCACCAGCAGCAGCGTCGCCAGCGATGCCAGTACCACCCTCATAGTGATCACCTGCGGAAGAGGGAACACGGGGTCAGTGATCGGCGCCACACCTAGCGGCCCGCTCTCGGGGAGGCCCAGGGCAGTGCTCCGGTCGTGCCGTCACCCAGGAGTGACCTCTGAGGATGTGGGACAGCGATCTGCATACACCGGTCACTGAACAAGTGATCTGCTCGGGGGCCCTGGAGGTCAACGCACTGACCGTCTATATCCCTTTGTAATTACCTCTAAAACGACTAAGAATAGAAGCATAAATGGAACGCAAATTTGCGTAACTTGCAAACGTGCATGCAATAAATCAGTCTGCATTTAGCAAGTTGAGCGATGACGAAATAATTTCCGCTCCATTGAATCAAACCACATGCACGGCACCCGCGGCATGCTGCATGGTGATTAGATCTCTGCAGAAATGCAAACTCTGCGACTCTAGGACAGGACCAGTGGCCTCCGTCCGAGGTGCTCTGACCTCCCCCTCCATCCAGTCACTCAGTCACATCCAGCCTCCAACAGACCCTAGTAGGTCAGACCGGCAGCTCGAGGCGCTAATGTTATGTTCGATTCTGTTCGATAGCGCGTTCGCAAGAACGGTCTGTTGCCGCGACCCTGTCGCCGTCAGGATTCCACCGGCGCCATGCCGCATACATCACAAGTATCCACACGCATCCGGCGACATCACAAAGCAATATCAGTCGCCCGGGGTCGATCGTTCGACGCGTCAATTCAGGACAGACGGAGCGTAACCGGATGGGACGCCGAACCGGCCGCCGTATTTGGCATACCGCCCAGTCGTCAAATCGCGCTCAGGTGTCTCCAGGTCAATGACAGGTGCCGCATTGTGACAGACAAGCCGGTGTGACGGGTAGCGAGTGACCCAGTTGTCAGTCCGTCACCCCCTCCCCCCGCTGGGCGGGTTGATCACGTGACAGGCTTCCCGACCGTGATTCACAGTCCACGACTCACGAGGCAAGTATGATATGAGAATGTGGTAAACAAGCGTTGCGCCAAGCGATGTGTGCAAAATGCGTGATTGAAAGGATGACAGAGTTGTTGGGCGAGGGTGATGTGAGAGATAGCTCGCGTGACATCTCGATTCGTGTTGTGGTGTCAACTTGGAATGCCGATATGATAGATATCCGATCGATTGATTCGATATTCAAGGCGCACACAGACTGGAGGATCGTTTATCCTCAGCGACCAGGCTAAGCAGGTTTCCTGGTCGGAGACTTGCGTAACATTGCTGCGTGCAATAGTAGCTGCAAAATGCGGGAGTGCAGCATTGCCAGACAGAGTTGGGAGTTGCAGTTGCCAGTTGGGACAACCAGCCGCCGCAGAGGCATGAATGAACGGACTTGGTAAATCGGACTGCCAAAAGTAGCTTAAATATGAAGAAAAATGCTGACATAACCTGCATAGAAATAATTTTGAAATGCAACGATATTGAAGAGTATAAATAATACGAGGGGAGTTAAACTAAATGATTATCTTCTGACCATTCTATCCACCAGGATATCATGCATCGTCTAATACCTATAAGTAGGTATGACCAAGATTACTTTACTAATATGACCGTTATGACCGTTACCGTATGACCGGGTATGACCGTTACTTTACATCATGTGAGGTAGTAAAGGTAAACTGGAAAGTTATCAATGCTCCGATAAAAGGTGCTTTTTACGTAGCATCGAACTTATTCTTAATTTTACCAGCTATTGATCTAACGGATGAGGACTGAGGAGCAGCAGCTCATATTCTTACAGACAGGATAATGTGCGATTAACTTCAGAACCGATAGCCCATAATGTCTATAACGTGACACATCTAAATTTCTAACAGTCGTAAGTTTTGGAACTGTCTCATTTTGGTCCGCCGTAAGCCCCTCAGACCAAAAAATAACGCACCGCACTCAAAACTTTTTTACTACCTCCTGGAGAGTTCATTTTCATCAAACCCGCAAGATAATAGTATATTGAAAGGGTAACTCGCTGCTACCATTATGGGCATAGTAACGGTACGTGGTTAATATGAACTTATTCGCCAGCGAAGAGTATTATTACCATGTAAATATCAATATTACTCTCGCGATCCAGAACATCACGAAAACTCTTCCCTCCTGGGTATCGTGACTCGGGTACAGATAGTCGTTTCATGCGTGGATCTTGTTTACCCTCGTGAAGATGATATTTGAAATGGAAACAATCAGCCAATCAGAAACGAGATCGGCCGTTTGCGGTTTGAAGGCCGCGCGCATCTGTCAGTTTTCGGCCGTTGGTCTCCGAGAGCGGATGTGAGCAGTGTCGGTGCCGCGCGGCGTGGCCGTTGGTGATTGTGCTTGTGTGTTGTTCATCGCCTATAGAGCCTCTGTGGACATTTTATTGTAAGTACCGATGTGCTAGAGCAGCGGTCGGCAGGTCCTCCGGGGTCGTGCCCCCTTTTTTGGCGCCAGGCAGGGCCATTACCCCCACCTACCAGACCCCATTGGTGATACAACCAAGGTTGCTGAAATTCCATACTTTTCCGTGACTCTTTGGGTACCATATCTGCGAGAAACCGCAGGCCCCCCTCCCCTGCGGTTTCTCGCAAATATCTCAAAAACGTTGGCACAGAGCGCCACCATTTTGGAACAATTGATCATACATCGTTTCTGCACATGTTGTGAATATTTCAGACCAGAGTCACTCAAGGTCAGGTCACCAGATCACGTCAAGTGACCTCACCTCAGTAAAGACTGTAACGCCTGCTTTAGCTGCATTGAGTGACAGATCTCTTTCAAACTTTCAGGAATTGATAAAGGCAACAGCATGTACAAAATTTGTATCTCGGAGATTTGATGTCGGTGACCAAAGTTAAGGTCAATTACACGCCCTCTCCCATTATCAATGGGAGAGGACGCAAAGCAAATGGTAGAAAATTGAAAGGCGCCTCTTTTGGACCAGTGTCATTCCTAACACTGTGACACTCTTATTTACAAGTAAACATGACCGCTGAACCGGAAAATTGCACCCGTAACCCCGCTGTATGTCCCTGAGGTCATTTCAGGTCATGAATGGTATCTAACAGCTATTCGCTAATAACTTTGATAAAGGCATCTCAGAGCGATGGAAATGCCTTAGATGTGTTCAGCTCGACGATACGGATCGACTGATATGCAACAAAACCTTCGATGCTTCTCGACGGGAGGATCACGATGCTGATAAAAGTGAGCTCTTGCGCAAGTTTTGAGTGACAAGTTATTTAAGAAAAACTATCAGCAAGCAACGTACATTTTGGCAGTTTTTGTCTCCTGCAGGCTAAACCGTTAATCTTCGGTTGAATCTGAGGGCAGGTATCAGAAAAAACGTTAAAGAGAGCTATCGAATGCGTTTTTCCGCAGCGCTGTAGCTCTATCCTTTCCTGAGCTATAGGCCAGTTTGTCGAAAACTGTCAAAGGTTGACCTGGAAATTAGCGAAATTTTACGTTCGATGACCTCTGGTGACCTGACCTTTGATTTGACCTAAAAAGTGACCATATTTTTTCTTCATCATTTCTTACGCTCTTTCGATCGCCGACTACGGCGTTTCGCTAGTGAACCAGGAGCCAAGTTAGTAGGGGGTGTTCAACCTCCACCTCCAGCAGGGCGTGGAAATCCAGGAGCCCCAGCGGGGCGCGGGTTAACCCCCATACGTATAGGGGTAGCGGGTATTTTTCGGGAATAGATCACGTTAAAAGGGTCGGATTACAAAAAAAAACTGTACCATCGAGCCGATCATTTTTATCTGTCCTGAAAATGGCATGACCTTAACCCGAATAACCGTTGATTTGTGAGATCTTTCTTGAGATCATGGCAGGCCAAAAATCTCACTTCAAGAAGTTACAGCAGGACCCGATTTACTCGGCAGTTGTTATTGACCTATGGAAGGTCACCCAATGACCAACGACCTTTAAATTGGGTAGCAGCGGCTGCTTATCTTCACGGGCAACACGCTCAATTTTTCTGCAAAGCTCCAGCTCAGAGACAGAGATGCTCAGGTCAGGGTGCAATGGACGACTCCTCTCCCTTGCGTTAGTGACTGTGAAAACGCCAATAGAAGAGCGCCGGTTAGTACATGACAGTTACTTTCAACGACTGTACGGAATGGTGAGCAGCTACATGAAAATTGACAGGCGCTTGCTAATCAGTTCATGCTTTGTGCGTTTGACCTCGACTAATCTTTGAATCCTGAAGCACAACAATTGCGATGTTTGTCCCATCAAGGGAGCCATTAATTCTAAAAAAGATGAGGCTTTCTCAGCGGCCCTCATTACCCCCCGCCGAAGGGCGTCATTACCCCCAAAGGGGGCATGCCCCACCATTTGCCGACCCCTGTGCTAGAGCATTGCGTGCCGTTGAGTGGTGCTAATTTGACCTGGTTAACAGGACCCCGTGCACGGCCACGTGGCCTAGTGTTGTGAGTACGTACATTAATTTTGTTGTGATGCTACAAGTTTATGCATTTTGTTGGTGACTTTGAAAAAGCCTTGCACTGTAGTGATCCAGTCTCATTATCTCACGCAGACGGGCGACCACCCAGGAACGCCGTCGCTCACTTCAAATATTGTGCGCTCTGCCTAATCCAATATGAGGGCGCTGAATGTCTTGTATTCATATTCAAATTGCATTCAAGTTGTATCATGGTGTTTATTTACCGCTTGTGCATTGCTGAACGCTTTGTATAAATTTGTATGAATAAGTGAAGAGTCTCACAATGTTCATGGTTGGTGTGCCCCTCGTATTGTTTGTACGGAAGCCAAATATACCTACATTGTTGCTCTTGAAGCATTTTTTTAGTTGGTGAGCTCCGGTTAACAGAAGCTTCGTGAAGCTTCTGAAGGAAGCGTCTGTGGGTCTGTTACCATCCTCTGGGGGGGGGGGGGGGGTACACTAAAGGAAAGAGTAAACATTACCATGTGACAAAGGGTAGGCCATAAGAATATACTCTCCGTAGGAGGGTAAAGCACAGAGTAGATGATGCGTTACTCCCTAAAAAAGGGTTCC